AGGGGTTAAAAATTAAGATGGTTGTTGTTTATTTGAATTAATACAGTTTTTTACCATTGGCCTAAGGAAAGCAGTAGGAACATTTTCTAGCATTTGAAATAAAATTCCTAAGCATGACAATTTTTCTCTAAAACTGATTGATTTTATATGTCTAACATATCATATGGTCATTTTCTTACATAATTTAAAAACAGAATTATATGTTTAAGATAGATTTGTAAAATATTTTTGAATCCATGGAATTTTATCATTAGACATAATGACAATGGTACCATTTTGATTACTAGTATGATTTTAAATATGTCTGTATTCTTTCTGATTTTAGACACCTAGACCCTTTTGGAACATCGGTAAACTATCTAGATTCTGCATTCAGAAATATAAGAAACCTTGGCATAGTGTCTGTGACTTCTACAGATATCAGTTCTTTATATGCCAAGGCACAACATGTTGCCCGGCGTCACTATGGCTGTAATATTGTCCGAACTGAGTATTACAAGGAACTAGCAGCCAGAATTGTTGTAGCTGCAGTGGCAAGGTACCAGACTGATAGCAATGTGCCTAGTATGTTTGGCTGTGTGATAGAGCTACTATTACAAAAAGTGCCAGTTGTATTTTTCAAAAAATGCACAGGGTACAATTTCTGTATTCATGTCTGTGATCTTGATTTGTTTGGTAATCTTATGTCGTATCTGTTACAATTTGATTTAAAAACTTTTGTGTCTAGAATAGTTTACTCTCCAATTAAAAATTTTATTAAAGTAAGTAGTAATAAAGAAGAGATAAGAATGAAAGTTAACTTCAAATCAGTTATTTTAATAACGTAGGGTAGGTGGGGATACCACTGTGAAAAGAAAAAGCAAAGGTTGTTTTTAGATTTAGAAAAAAATCACTATTTTATGTCCATTTCATCTCTTTACCTAGTTTGAAAAAAATGATGGCTTATATGGGCGCCTGGCTGGCTCATTTGACAAAGCATGTAACTCGTGATCTTGAGGTCATGGATTCAAGCCCCACATTGGGTGTAGAGATTACTAAAAAAATAATAATAAACATAAATAAATTTTAGAAATGATGGCTTATATACTTGATTCTGCAAAGTGATCTCACCCACAAAACAAAGTTCTTTTTTCATCAGGATTTCTAAAGAAAGCAAGGAAGATTTCTTTGAGCACCAGTTTTATTCAAAAAATTATGCTAGGGGTGCCTGGGTGGCGCAGTCAGTTGAGCGTCCGACTTCAGCCAGGTCACGATCTCGCGGTCCGTGAGTTCGAGCCCCACGTCAGGCTCTGGGCTGATGGCTCAGAGCCTGGAGCCTGTTTCCGATTCTGTGTCTCCCTCTCTCTCTGCCCCTCCCCCGTTCATGCTCTGTCTCTCTCTGTCCCAAAAATAAACAAACGTTGAAAAAAAAAAATTATGCTAGAAGAAGAATATAACAATATAATATAAATTGACACTGAGAACATAGCTAATGCATGATCAACTAGCTTGTTCACTAGCCTCAACACTAGCTTTCACAGCAGTTAAATTGAAATTCCTACCTTAGCATAATACAGATTATTAAACTTCATAGACCTTTGGAGTTATTCCTAATTAGCTGAAAACTCTGATACTCAGTTTGTATACCTACCAAGGACCTAGTATATGTGCTTAAAAATGTTTATAATATAACATCAACAAGTTGAAATTAATACATATGAAATAAGTTTAGTACATATAATTGCAAAGGGGAAACTACATAAATGATGTATCAGTTAGAATTTAACCCAAAAGTCTATAAAGTTAACAGTGTCAGAAACTTTGCCTATTCATTTTTCACTTAACATTCAGCATCTGGTATACTATCCTGCAGGTAGTACTCAATCATATTGTTTAGAAGAAGCTTTTATGGAAAAAAAGGTAGAAAGGGTGGTGGGATGACAAGAAACAAATTGACACTGAAAATCAGAGAACGTAGTCTTTTTTTTTTTAGATGTTTATTTTTGGGAGAGCATGAGCAGGGGAGGGGCAGAAAGAGGGGGACAGAGGATCCTAAGTGGGCTGCTAACAGCACAGAGCCCAGTGTGGGACTCAAACTCACAAATGGTGAGATCATGACCTAACCTGAAGTCACACGCTTAACCAACTGAGCCACCCAGGCACCCTGAGAATCTAGTCTTATTGACTAGTCTTATTGACTTATTTCCATAATGGAAAATGTTTAGTCACTAAAGATTCTGTCAAGCATCCTTTATTTCCTGTGTTTCAATTTGTGTAAAGGTTATACTAATAATCTTTTAAAAACACTGCCACTAAGAATTGAATTTTCCGTATTTTCCCATAATCCATCCATAGTTTACTGTCCAATTAATATTGTCAATATAAAAATGCCAAAGAAACATGATGAGCCCCCAAAATAACTTAAAAATTTTTTGCAGAGCTGCAGCCCGTTGTAACAAAGGCATTGAAGTACTGTTTGCAGTGGCTTTGGAACATTTTGTGTTGGTTGTTGTGCGAGTTTTGAGGGGGCCTACTTCTGCAGATGAAACAGCCAAGAAGATTCAGTACCTGATCCATTGTCAGTGGTGTGAAGAGAGAATTTTTCAGAAGGATGGTAATATGGTAGAAGGTAAATTCAAGCTTCTCTTGACTGTATATCGTGTTTATATACAAGCCTCCAATGAATAAGTCTTTATCACATCCCTAATTATACATGTTGTTGTCCTTTGATTTTAAAGATTACAGTGCTAACTTTATTTCCTATACTGGATTTCCTTTCATCAACAGACAAGACATGCGTGTGAGTTTATTAAAGTTATTTACTCATGCTGTATTCAATTTATGCTCTCTAGCCCTGCCCTCTGTTGAAACATCTAGAAATAACTTAGATTCCACTGTCACTAATTTTAGGAACATAAGTCAGATTACCTCTTTGTCTGGGTGTTTCAAATCATTAATTTTATAAGAATAATTATCATGTTTCTGGCTGAATACAAAAACCATCAGTTATAAAATTCATTCAGTAAACACTTTTACTGAGACTCTACTATATGCCAGGCATGGGGATCAAAGAAAAAGATGAGGCTTATGCTGTTTCTATTTTACTTTTCTGGGACATAGAAACAGTTGCCCATTATTTTCTGTTAGAGCCTTCACATTTTTTAAGAACTCTTTAGATATTAGAGTGTAACCCCAGTGATACGAGTTGCAAATATTTTTTCTCATTTTATCACTTCTGTTGGCATCTATTTTTTAGTGTTATTTTGATTGCATTAAAGAGGATATATATCATTGTGGTTTTCAAGGTTCCTAATAACTTCGTATGCTTTTCATTTGCACAAGTACTTTTGCTACAGTGTTAATTGATAGTGAGAATGGAAGGCATCCCGTCATTGTTCCTTTAGTTCTCTGTGGTGCTTTCTGATTCAAGCATCAGATACCTATCATTTATCGTGTCAAGAAAATATCTTTCAGGGGCGCCTGGGTGGCGCAGTCGGTTAAGCGTCCGACTTCAGCCAGGTCACGATCTCGCGGTCCGTGAGTTCGAGCCCCGCGTCAGGCTCTGGGCTGATGGCTCAGAGCCTGGAGCCTGTTTCCGATTCTGTGTCTCCCTCTCTCTCTGCCCCTCCCCCATTCATGCTCTGTCTCTCTCTGTCCCAAAAATAAATAAACGTTGAAAAAAAAAAATTAAAAAAAAAAAAAGAAAATATCTTTCATTTCCAGTTTTACTGTATTTTAGCAAGATGTTGAATTTTGTCATGTATGTCAGCATCTGTGGAGATGATTGTGTGGTATTTCTCCTTAGGTCTACTGATTTGAGTAATCATAATAAAATTTCCCAATATTGAACAATTCTGACTTTCTAAAATAAACTACTCTGCCAGGAAGTATTTTCTTAAGATGGATTCTGTTTGCAGGGCACTTGGGTGGCTCAGTCGGTTAAGCGTTGGGCTCTGCACTGACAGCATGGGACCTGCTGTAGGTTCGCTGTCTCCCTCTCTCGCTGCCCCTCCTCTGCTCGCACTCTCTCTCAAAAGCTAATATATAAACAGGAAAAAAAAAGATGGATTCTATTTGCTAATTCTTTTTAAGTTTTTAAATTTATTTTGAGAGAGAGGGTGAGAGAGAGCAGGGGAGGGAGAGAGAGAGAGAATACCAAGAGGCTCCATGCTGTCAGTGCAGAGCCCCATATAGGGCTAGAACTCACGAACTGTGAGATCATAACCTGAGCTGAGATCAAGAGTTGGATGTTTAACCGACTGAGCCACCCAGGGCTACCAATTTGCTAATTTTTAAAATTTTGTTTTAATATTCATAAATGAGATGGTATATAGTTTTCCTTTTTAGTAGTAATTTTGGTTGGGCTTTGGAGTCTGTTTAAAAGGAATTCGGAACTTTGCCCTGTTTTTCAGTGGTTGGGAACAGTTTTAGCTTTAGCTTTTCGAAATTATTTACATAGAGTTGAGCCAAGTGGTATTCATTGGTTCCTTTTAATTTTCTTGGTTTCTGTGGTTATATTCTTGTTTTTTTTAAATTTTTAGTAGCTGTCCTTTGCTTATGCTTTTGAACTTTTATCTACAGTAGTTGTTGTTTTTTTAATCAAACATTTTAAAGGATTTTTGACTTAATAATTTACTGTAAAGAAATTGGATTTATCTTTGCATTTTGCTTGCAATCATATAGACCTTGCAGAGTGTAAATGAGTCTTTCAAAGAAGTCAGTTCACTCAGAATTTTCTATAATTTTATCAACTTGTAATACATTGTTTCAAAAGTCAACTAGTTTCATAAGTCTTAATAAAATAATGACCCCTGCCATACTCCCTAAAGTTACCAGCTAAAATATCAGAGCTATTTCTTCTAATGTTTACATCCCTATTTCTAAATGGCATGTTTATAGTACCTATAACTTCTTTCCATGGAAGAATATTCAGCTTCTTAAACCAACCTAGTCACATGCGTGTACCTCCCTTCTCCAGTGTTGGCTAAATCAGTATTCAGTGTTTATATTTTCATAAATATAAAACTATTGTTTACAAGTTGTATTAGTTATCTGTTGCTATGTAACAAATTAGTCCAACATTTAGTGGCTTAAAACAACATTTATTGTCTCATAGTTTCTCTGAGTTAAGAATCTGGGCATGGCTTAGCTGGGTCCACTAGCTCAGGGTCTCCAGGCTGCAATTAAGGTGTTTGCCAAGGCTGCAATCAAAGCCTGACTGGGTTAGGATCTGCCTACAAGCTTATTCACATAGTTACTCCCTGGATTCAGATCCTTGTAAGTTGTTAGACTGAAGACCTCAGCACCTTGCTTGCTGCTCAGTGACTTCCCCAGTTCCTAATCATACATTCCTCTTTATCTATAGTTTCTCATGGCAGCTTGCTTCATCAGAATGATCCAGCAAGAACCAGAGAGAGCGTGAGAAAAAGCAAGACAGAAGTCATGATATTTTGTAACCTAGTCTAATAATATCCATCATTTTTGCCATATTTTAGTAATTAGAAATGAGCTCTAGATGTTGTGATCTCACACTTAAGAAGGGGAACTACATAAGGGTATGAAAACCAGGAGACAAGGTCATTTGCTATCTTAGAAGTCTTTTCCAACACAGATGAACCAGTTAATATGCTGTAATAATGTTCCCTTTTGTAAGTGCAACTCTTGGATAACTCTGGAATTAATCATTAGCTGTTTTTGTTCCTTTTTTTGTGTATGTGCACTTTTCATAATCCATTCCTAAACCCTTTGCTACAGTTTCATAGCTTCTTCCTGTGTGGGTAGGTGCATCAGGCTATCTTCAGTCCCAGTGTCACCTCCCTGGAGACAGTGCTCCCACTCTCCTCTGGCTGCTTTGTTTTGCAAGTCCGCTGAAAGGTGTCGTCCTGGGGCTTCCTTTTAACCAGCGTCTCGGAGATGTTCTTTGGCTTTCTCCTTCTGATGAGTCTCCTATATCTTGGCTCTTGTATATTTTTCCACTATCCTTGTTTATTGTCTCATTTTGAATGAACACTTTGTAGCTTCCTGAGAAGAATCACATGGCCAAGTATAGAATTGTAGGTTATAAATCGTTTTTCTTCAGAATGCGTAAGGTATTATTGTATTCATTGTCTTCTAGCCTCCAATATTGAGAAGTCTGCTATAGTTCTTATATCTAGTCCTTTGTGTGTTTTTCTCTGTGAATGCTCTTAAAACATCCTTTGTTTACCCAGTATTCTAAAATAATTTTGTAATATGTGTATTAATTCATCTTTTTAAATTTATTGTGCCTGGATAATCTGTGAGCCCTTTAAGGAACTTGAGTTCTTTAGTTCTGGGAAATTATTTTTAATTTTAATTCTGGTGTAGTGAACACACAGTACTATATTAGTTTCAGGTGTACAATAGCATGATTTATCAGTTCCATACATTACTAAGTGCTCACTAAGACAAGTGCACTCCTAATCTTCACCTATTTCACACATCCTCCTCAACCCACTTTCCCTCCGGTTAACCATCTTTTCTCTATAGCTAAGAATCTGTTTTTTTGATTTCTCATTTTTTTTCCTCCCTTTGTTTGTTGTTTCTTAAATTCCACATATGAGTGAAATCATGTGATATTTGTCTTTCTCTGGCTTATTTCACTTAGTATTGTACTCTGTAAACCCATATATGTTGGAAGTAGTGAGACTTTATTCTTTTTAATGGCTGGATAATACTCCATTTGTGTGTGTGTGTGTGTGTGTGTGTGTGTGTACACCATATCTTCTTTACCCACTTATCTATCAGTGGACACTTGGGCTGCTTCCATAGTTTGGTTGTTGTAAATAATTCTACAGTAAACATAAGGATGCATATATCTTTTTGAATTAGCGTTTTCATATTCTTTGGGTAAATACCCAGTGCTGCAATTACTAGATCATAGAGTGATTGTAGGATAGTTCTATTCTTAATTTTTTGACAAACTTCTATACTGTCTTTTTATTTTTAATTTTTTTTAATGTTTCTTTATTTTTGAGAGAGAGAGAGAGAGAGCATGAGCGGGCAGGGATAGAGAGAGAGGAAGACACAGAATCCAAAGCAGGCTCTAGGCTCTGAGCTCTCAGTACAGAGCCCGACATGGGCTTGAAACCACGAACCAGGAGATCATGACCTGAGCCAAAGTCGGATGCTTAACCAACCGAGCCTCCCAGGCGCCCTTTCTATACTGTCTTCTACAGTGGCTGCACCAGTTTGCATTACCACCAACAGTGCACAAAGGTTCCTTTTCTCCACATCTTTGCCCACACTTGTTGTTTCTTTTCTTTTCTTTTTTTTTTTTTTTTTTGTTTATTTTTGAGAGAGAGAGAGCAGGGGAGGGGCAGAGAGAAGAGGGAGACACAGAATCCAAAATAGGCTCTAGGCTGTCAGCACAGAGCCTGACGCAGGACCCAAACCCACAAACCATGAGATCATGACATGAACTGAAGTCTGATGCTTAACGGACTGAGACACTGGGGTGCCCTTCTTGAGTTTTTGATTTTAGCCATTCTGATGGGTGTGAGGTGATATCTCATTGTAGTTTTGATTTGCATTTCCCTGAGTGATGTTGAACATCTTTTCATGTGTTGGCCATCTGTATGTCTTCTTTAGATAAATGTTAGTTCAAGTCTT